CTGTAGTCGAACGGTGGGACGGACGTGCAGTTCAGTTTTTGGGCACGCATACGGTGCTGCAGGGATTTTTAGGTGTACCTCTTCGGGCTCTTGCATACCTTTTTCTCGTCAGATGTGTGCGTGTTCTTTAGATCCTCAGATGGCTCTAGCACTTTCGTGACCACGGGCTGAGAGTCTTTTGCTAGATTTTGGCATTTAGCAACTGACATACGGTTTAATGTGAAGACAAACAACAACATCTCCACGCGGTCTAGAAGCGGATGTGAAGCGCACGGGTTGGTTGTGAAGAGCGCGTCCTTTGACCATCAAGTGGCCGATTTCATCAAGTTTAACGGCTTGCGCGTTCCCGGGGTAGACCCCGGAGGCAACGGACTGTATGCGGTTGTGTTGACCAAATCACTGCACGGAAGAAAAGTCCAGTCAGCGCGTACGTTCCACGTGGGTGTACTCAAGATAAAGAATTTTGAGACCAGGCTTGCAGACATGAAATCGTTCGTGGACACCAGGATGAAGGAGGGGTCACGTGGAGGAGGAAGGAAGCTACTGGTTTTGTTTTCTATCGGCACCACCCACGAGAAATCAGTCATGTAGGAATTGAGGAACGGAATTGTTGCAGACAAGTACGAGAGTGCGGCCGAAGTGCTCAAGCTGTACGGGATGAAAAAGTTTCTATCTATGGCACACGGGTGCAGGCAGCCCTACATTCTAATTCACGACTTGACATTGGAAGAGACGCTAGCGGAAAGAACTGGTTTCTGCGGGGGGGGTGTTTTGTGCGCGAAGGGTTAGTTAGCGATATTGTATACTGAAGGGTGCACTTGGCTCTGTTCTCCTGAGGTTTGACTTGCCGTCGTGCCCAACGTACCTTTTTTTCACATGATGGTAGAAAAGGACGGTCTTTGTCATATCCACCTTTTTGGCCAATTCACCTTCGAGATCCTGCACTTTTCGTTTTAGTGCTCGGAGCTCGTTCTCCACGTTGTACTCGCCCGCGTACAAACCGTTTTTATTGATGTGTGCCCTTGCCCCGCCTTTTCCAGCTCTGAAATACGTACCGCCGTTGCGATCGCAAGAAATGTAGTTGTTTCCTCCATGGTTGAAGTGTGTGCGGTATGCATCTCGCCCCGTGTTCAGAACATCAAAACCCGCTCCCTTCACGCATGCAACCCCTGTGTTGCCCGACGTTAAGCTGGTTTCTTGGTCCGCTGCACAATTTAGTATGGTTCGACCCCTATCCGTTTGGGAAATTGCGCATCTCTCGAAGCCGTGCTGTGCGTGGTGAGAGAAAGACGCGTGCCTGCCGGGGACAATGTTCGCTACCTTACCGGCTCCCATTCGGGTGTTCCCCTCTGTATTCACGGAGAAAACACCCATGTTCTTGTCGTTCTTCACGATGAATCCACTTTTTTTGTCACCGTCAAGCTTCAAGCGAACTGCATGATGTGTTACGTCCCCGTGAGCATTGCATTTTTTACCATCGGGGGCTTTCCCTGTGGGGTTGGACAGGTACATCGTAAAGTTTGGAACTGTGATTGCACCAAAGTGTATCGCCGACGCCTGTCCGTTATGAGGCAAGAGTGACAAGTTGCAGTTGGTCGCCCTCAGACCGACGGCGTTGAGAGTGCCGTTCCTCACGTACGCCCTACTCTTCAGCACGTTCCAGTCGCGGTTGAGATCCGCCAGGTTTTTCCTGGTCTCTTCCTCGTTCCCGTCCACCAGCTCGATAGCATCGACCAGCTTGTCCTCTCCCTGCGTCAGCTGGGTCAAGCTGGTGGACACCTGCTCGATAGCTCCCGCGGACTGAGCGACGGAAGTCTTGGTGGCTTTCAGGCTCGACTCGATGGCCGATGCAAGCCCAACCACGGCGTCTATCCTGTTGTCCGCGGTGGAAACACCCGACTCGAGGTCTCCCGCCCGCGTGGACAATGTTTCAATGCCGGAAGCGTTCGTTTTCATCGACTCCTCCGCCTTCGCAATACGTTCGCGCACTTTCGGTATCTCCTCCGTGGTGAAGTTGTTGAGGCGGTCGAGCTCGTCGTTGAGCATGATGAGGTCTGTCTCGTTGGTACTGGACCTGGTGCTGGTGGCATTGGCGAACAGCTCGAGCTCGCCCAGCTTGGTCGCTAGCCCGGTCGAGTTGGACGCGGAACTGTTGTTGACGCTGTTGGAAAATTTTCCAACTCGTCCAGCCTTTCTTGGAGCTCCTGAACTTCGGACGACGACGCTTGTTGGAACGTTGCGCGTTTGATGGTTTCGGCGGGACGAACGACCTCGACGGGTTTCACGACGTTTGGCGTGAGGACGGATTCGCCGCCAAATCCGGAGATGGCGTCGATCGTCTCTTTTAGAGAAGCGATCTGTGTGCTGTTGTAGATCCCCAGTGCCAGAGACACACCCGATGCTCCCGCTGTTGCCATGTTTTGTTTTATACTTTTATATACATATTTATTTCTGATTATCGCATTTTAGGGCACCAAGAACTCAGTGGTCGTACTGGAGTCTGTGGTGAGCGTGCGCGTCTCTGTGATTTGTGTGTGGTTTGCCGTTCGAACCGTAGTACTTCTTGGCCGCATCGTTCCTGATCAGTATCGTTCTTCGCATATCCAACCTGTGAGCCATTTCCCCCTTGAGATTCGCCACGTCTTTTTATGGTTGTCTAAGCTCGTTGGCAACGTTGTACCCGCCGGCGTAAAAGCCGTGCTTATTGTAGTATGCTGCACTACCACCTTTTCCAGCTTTGAAATATGTGTGACCGTTCCGGCCGCAAACAACGTGATTTTCCCTCGAATGATGTTAATGCGTCGGGTGAGCATCTTGCCCCGTGTTCAGGATGTCGAATCGAGCACCAACCACCTTCGCAGTTTCCACGTTGGCCACCCGCAGGCTGAGCTTCTGCCCCAATGCGGCATTGAGTATGGTGTCACCCCTGTCCGTTTGGGAAATCGCACATCTACTGCTGCCAGTTCGGGAGTGGAAACCGAAGCCCGTCCACTTTCCCGTAATAATGTCAGCAATCCTACCGGATCCCATTCGGGTGCCTTGCGCACTCACGGAGATGTTTTTGTCGTTCTCCACGATGAATCCATTTCTTTTGTCGCCGTCCAGCCGCATGCGCACAGCATTATGAGTCACTTCGCCGTGGCCACTGCATTTTTTGCCGTCGGGGCCTTTCCCCGACGCGCTGGAACAGTACATAGCCCAGTTGGGATTGCCGATTCCGGCGAAATGTAGAGCCGAAGTTTGGCCGTTGTGTGCATCAAGAGCCAACTTTCGCTTGGTTGCTGTCAGGTTGATGGCATTGAAAATACCGTTTGTGATATAGGCTTTGCTCTTCAGCACGTTCCAGTCGCGGTTGAGATCCGCCAGGTTTTTCCTGGTCTCTTCCTCGTTCCCGTCCACCAGCTCGAGGGCGTCGCCCAGCTTGTCCACTCCCTGCGTCAGCGCGGTCAAGCTGGTGGGCACCTGCTCGATAGATCCCGCGGACTGAGCGACGGAAGTCTTGGTGGCGTTTAGGCTCGACTCGATGGCCGACGCGAGGGCAACCACGGCGTCTATCCTGTTGTCCGCGGTGGAAACACCCGACTCGAGGTCTCCCGCCCGCGCGGACAGTGTTTCAATACCGGAAGCGTTCGTTTCCATCGACTCCTCCGCCTTCGCAATACGTTTGCGCACTTTCGGTATCTCCTCCGTGGTGAAGTTGTTGAGGCGGTCGAGCTCGTCGTTGAGCATGACGAGGTTTGTCTCGTTGGTACTGGACCTGGTGCTGGTGGCATTGGCGAACAGCTCGAGCTCGCCAAGCTTGGTCGCTAGCCCGGTCGAGTTGGACGCGGAACTGTTGTTGACGCTGTTGGAAAATTTTCCAACTCGTCCAGCCTTTCTTGGAGCTCCTGGACCTCGGACGACGACGCCTGCTGAAAAGTTGCGCGTTTGATGGTTTCGGCGGGACGAACGACCTCGACGGGCTGTACAACGGTTGGCGCGAGGACGGAACCCCCCCCCGCGCTCAATCTCGATCCGCAGATGGCGTCGATCGTCTCTTTTAGAGAAGCGATCTGCGTGGTGTTGTAGATCCCCAGTGCAGAGACACACCCGATGCTCCCGCTGTTGCCATGTTTTGTGTTAAGTACACATATTTATTTCTGAATATCCCACTTTAGCACACCAAAAAGCTTCGTATTAGAAGTCAATTCCATACCGAAAACTTGGCACCGAAACCCAGTTTATCCAGCTTGTCTGCTGTGTCGTACACTGATAGATCACTGGTGGTTGCGCCAATGCACCTTGTCGTACAATCCGTCGCGCCGAGAAGGATGGGTGCATTGGGCGCGGCAACTCCCTGCCTGCTACGCTGTCCGGACTGTGCCCCGCGTTTTACGCTCCTCGTTACAGTGGTCCCGAAAACCGTCTCGAACCCTTTCTGTACGTTCGAAAGCATGCAGTCGTGTGTTCCGACGCCTTCGTTGTAGAAGTAGGTCAAGCCGTACCTTTGACAATACCTTTTTGTGAACTCACACAGACCCTTGTCCGTCAGGAAGTGGTTGTCGTACCCCATTTCATCACACTGTTGCTTGACGCTCAGGAGGGGGGACATCTGTCCAAAACCATCCTTGAATATTGCGAAGTCGGGCTGCAACGGCTGGCGCGCCGCTTCCCCCTCGGCCTCCTTCCTCTTTTGGGTAGCCTCCGCCAGGGAAATGTTGTTTTCTGACGCGACTTTCCTGTCCGCTGCGTCCAAACTCTTTTTGAGCGCCTTTTCGCTGGCCACGACCGCAAGCCTTTCTTCCTCGACAAGCTCTGCTATGTTGTCATCGACAATAGACTTGGCCTCACTGTACAGATCGTCGTACACAGGGTACCAATCGGGCGAGTCGGCCGTCTGTTTCCTCACCATTTCCACGGTAGCGGCAGCCACACCCTGTGGAGCGTACGTGGTAATGTTCTCTGACATCACGGCCGTGATGGTGTTGGTGTAGGCCTCCCCTCTCGTCTTGGCGTCCTTGTTCCAAGCACCCATATAGTTTTCTCGGTGAGGCATGCCCCGAATTCCCTCCTCTTTCGCGTAACGGTATTGCATCCAGAACTCTTCGTCGGGATCTACTTTTGTGAAAGCCCACCCAATCCGCTTGATCTTCGCCCCCGAGACTATCCTGACCTGATCCTCCGCTGAAACCGATTCATACACGCGGTAGCCGTTGACAACGTTCATCCAGCGGTAGATGGGCTTCGACTTGATCTCATTCATGAACTTGGCCTTCTGGACGTGGAAGCTGTTGAAAGCGACGATTCCGGCCGCATTCAGCGAGCAGACCATGAGATGGGTCTTGGTTTTCTGGTCGTAGTCGTGGTCCCTCTCGGTCCCGACCAGGTGCGAAGGGGTGTTGGTGATCTTGCTGGACTTGACCAGGAAGGTGTTTTCGGTGTTCTGGTTGATCATCTCCTGCACAAAGTTGACGTTGCTGTCCATGATACCCTCAAGCCTTGCGACCTCGTTCTCGTACTCGGCGGTAGCCTCCGAGTTTGGCATGGTTTCCCACCTTTTTTCGGCAGAGCTCAGGAACGCCGATATGTTTGAGGTGAACCAGTCAATCACGCGATTCTCGGTGAACAAGGGGTCGGTCACCAACGGGTTCGTTATTCCTTCATTCGTGAGCTCACGTGTGTAGTGGCTGAGGATGTCGTCGCGCATAGACTTGATTTGGCCGGCGGCCTGTACGTCGTTGTATCCCGCGGGGTCCCAGAGGTCGAGCGCGAGGCTCATGAGATCGAAGGCCAGCATTGCCAACCCGACCGGGCCAGACACGGCTACTTTGGCGGCGCCTTTCAGCAAGGTCTTGCCTATGGCCATGGCTACCTTAGTTCCCAGCTTCATGCCAAGTTTCTTGGCCATCTTGACCCCGACCTTCGTCCCCAGTTTAAAACCGGTCTTGGATGCCGCCTTTTCGGCGATGCGACCGTTGACTTTGGCCACAGCTCCCGACAGCTTGGAGGAGAACTTGGCCATTACTTTCAAACTCCTCCCGGCCTTGGCGACATTTGTACCCATCTTCACCGCCAGCGAACGACTTACCTTGGCCATAAACGCGATGCCACCGGGATCGGTGAACAAAGCCCAGGCCATTTCAATGGCGATCAACTTACCTCTCTCTTCGTAGGGGAAACCGGCCGCGGGCGGATCGAATCTGCAGCAGAGCACGTCGTGTGAGTTGGTGAACAGAACATAGCCCTCGCGACAGGACCGGTTGGCCTCCTCGCAGTCAAAGGTGCCGTCTCCACACTTTGGACGATTTGGGCACGTGTTGTTCCGCAGCTCCTGTGCCATCTCCGCCTCCACCGCGGCGATGATCTCATCGATGATGTTGTCCTTCCACGAGTCGTAGTGGGACAGAGCCAGCTCAATACGGCTGTAGTACGTGTCATCCACTACCACAGGGGCTACAGCCGTGGTACCAAGCATCTGCGATGCGTCCTCGGCCACAACCAGCTCGTCATGAAGCGGCTGGCCTTCTTCCTGCGCGTACTCAACAATAAGGTGCGGGGACATGGTGCTGGGCAGGTCACCTTCCCGCGGCTTGGCGAGTCCGATAAGTCCCGGTGGATAACAGACCGAGTTATTGTTGATCTCGGGCATGACGTTCGCTGGGCCGGCCAGCACGCCCTGGGCGATCTCGCGATGGTTCTCGGTAAAGTCGTCCCTGAGCTCACCTTCCAACGTCTGCAGAATGCCCGTAACCACGGAGCGTATATCGGAAGTTCGGGCGTAGGCGCCCGACAGCTCCTTCGCGTAAACGTCATTAAATTTCTGGACGTGCTCGTTGGCGAGCTTCGTGTACCTCACGCGGAATTGCATCGACGCCCTCGAGTAGGCCGAGGCGGCTTTCCACAGGGCCGCCGACCTCGCCCTCTCGTATTCCAGGACAGCTTTGTTCGAGAGCACTTTGAGGTTCCCTCGCACGATCGACTGGCGGGCCGCGTAGGAAATCGTGTTGTAGTCCGCGACGATGTTGACGGCCTCTTCCCTCAGCGCCTGACCGATGACGTTCGATACAATCTCCCTTTGTTTGTTCTCGAGGTTCACAAATATCTTGACGTGAGCCTCGAAGATTGTCTTGGCCTCCTCCGCGAGAATAGCCTGGTCCACGGAAATTTTTGCTATGCTTGTATCGAAGATGCCGGTGAAGTTCGGGAATGCTCACTCCTGGAACGCCTGGACAACTTCCTGTAGGGCGGTGTTGAAGAAGTTTTGGGTCGTTGTGCCCATCACATGGTCCAGTTGGACGATGGCGCTCTGCAGCTTGGTGTTGAGAGTCACGTGCATCGAGGCGCTGGTGGAACGGATGACACCCTTGATGTCAGTCACCTTCTTGTCCAGGGTTTGTGTGTCTTGCCAATGGTGGAGTCGCTGATGGTTTTGCGTACTGGTCCGAGCAGGCGTTGCATGAGTTCTCCCACGGGCACAATCTTTGCTTCCACGAAGTCCTCTAGCAGTTGGGCGTACGATTCGACCACAGAATCGCCGTGCGCGTTCATGTGCAATATGACGTACCTTTTCATCCCGTCGTAGTCGATTTCACCGCCGGCTTTCAGGAACGATCGCTGCGTCTTGGTGAAAAATTCTTCGTTGTACGGCTGCGTAGTCTCCACCTTGAACGAGTCTACGAGATCTTTCATGTGACCCGTGATGAATTCTATCTGATGGCTGATTTCTCCATAGAGAATGGCGACAAACTCATCGACGACGCTGCTCACCTCGAACACTCGCATGTTTCCCTCGAATTGAGCGAACGTGTCCATGACGGCCGTGCGCGAATCCTTTTGCTCCTCCTTGAACACGTCTTCTATACCCAGGTCCAAGCACGTCCCTATGGAGTCGGCGAGGGTGTCGTGGAACGCCGAGGTGAGCTCGTCCATCGTCTCACGAAGGGTTTCGTCGGTGAAGAAGAGGAGCTCCGAAAGAGACTGGAGGAATTCGAACGAGTCGTCGTTCAAGAAATTGATGTAAGGCATCCGCGCCAGAGAAATCATCTTCGCCCTCGCTTTTGCGATCTCACTGCTGTAGAACGCGTGAAACCTCGCCCGAGTTTTTTCCAGGTCGAACGACTCCTCCTCGCACATGGCGAAAAAAAAGTTGTAGACCATGACACTCCGCATGTTGTAGAACTGAACCACGCACGTCTGCGTGCCTTCCAGGCGAGCTCTTCTCAAAACACCGGAAAACTCGATCAGCAACGCCGCGAAATAGTTCCTGACCTCGGGTAAGACCGAGCGGTAGTAGTCCGATGCGAGCAATAGCAGCTTCGGCGCGCTGAAGCTGGCCGTCTTGATGGATTCTTCGAGCGCCTTCTTGACGCGCTCGTACCGCTTTTTGGCCAGCGCCTGCACGTTTCGTTTCTGAGTCTCGTTCATGACTTTGTCCGTCAACACCGACTGAAACCGCTTAAGGTATACGCCGGAAGCGTTGTTTCTCAAGATGTTGGGAATATGCCCGTTGGACACGCGGAAGTTTATCTCCTTGTCCGTGTCTTCTCGTATCTTCTTCGCCACGACAAAACGGTCTTGCACAACGTCGTCCATGCTCAGTTCACCCTCGCCGAATCTTTTCAGCACGGGGTACGTGATTTGGCTTCTCACAACTTGGGCTATTCTCTCCTGGATGTCCGACTCCACGTAGTTTCTCACTTCGTTTTTCAGGTCCATCTCGAACACTACCTTCTTGGCAATCTCTAGCGTCCGCCTGTACTTGGCTAACATACCTAGCTTAGTGGTCCTGTGAAATTCCCGTATGCGTCCGATTCTGTTGCTCGTGTTGGAGGCAACAGGTTCCGCGATTTCTCTCTCCACTCGAGGCCTCATCGTCGCGAGCATTCCGGTGTAGTACGCCCAGAGCTCCTTCACGTCGTCTTCTGAATCGACATCCTCCAGATATCCGCGGAATTCTGTGTCCAGGCGAGTCATCATGTTGTTCACGTACGCGGGTAGGGTGACGCGCGTGATGTGATTGGACTTGGCTTCTACGCCAGAAACGTACGCTTCAACCTCGGCGTCCAGCCTTCTCTCCACTCTTTTCAGGATGTTGTCTGTTGGGCTGTTGAGCAGGTTTGGTATACCAGAAGTCTCGGTGTTGTATCGATCGAGAATTTTCAGTATCGCAGCCATGATGTCGGTGTGGGTTATTCCAGAGATGATGACCGGCATGTCAGCGTTGATGGATGACGCAATTGTGTCGTGGTATCTCGCCACCAATTGCATGGCCTTTCTGAAAGCATTTTTCTTCGCCGTGTAAAGCCACACGGTGTAGACTAGTACGGCCGTGACGCTAGCTAATTTAGTCGGGAGCGCTAGCTTTCGTCGCATATTAACACAACGCAGCAATATTTAAAATTTAATATCTTGGTAAATGAGTAAGATTAGTCGCACCGAATGCCATCTGTTACGGTCGCCGTGGTGAAAGGTGCCGCTCGTAACGCTGACAATGTGTCCGCGGGATACAAGGCAATCGCTAGAGCGAGCACCAACGTAACGGACCTGGCAACTCTGTTGAGAAAAGTTGACGTGCGGAGCTACGCCAAGGCTTTCGGCGAAGCTGTGCCGGCCCTAAAGGGTAGCTCTAAACTCATAGACGCGGGAGCCGTCCCACCGTCAACGGACGATCTCTTGACGTCCGTCAACCCCTCTGTGATACTGAAAAGCGCGAAGCAAACGTCCGGTATAGCGGACGCTGCCAAAAAGTTCGATCCGTCGGCAATGGCCGATCTCAAAAGCCTCAACAAACTCGAGGATGCCTCCAGCGCGATCTCCAGCACCACCGAGGTGGACAGCCTCAAAGGTCTGTCGAGAAGATCGGAGGATCTGCTGACGAAGGGGGGCAGATACAAGGCGCTCAAACGCGCAACACCTCCGGTCAACAAGGTTGACGATGTCGGTGATGCACTAAAGAAGAGCAAGGGTCTGGCGTCCAAGGTAGATGCCGTCGCGGAAGCCGGCGCGAAAATAGCCAAGAAATCCTCCAAGAAGTTAGACGAAGCCGTCGAGGGCGCTGGCAAACTGTCCAAGGGTAAGAAAGCTCTAAAGTTCGCCAAAAAATGGAGCGCCGTCGCGAACGTGGCCGTTCTCGGCGGGTTCTACCTAGGTATGTACCCCTCGAACAAGGTCAACGGTTCCGAGGGTGACGGGGGTGGGGACGGATCGAGTCTCGTTTCGGACCCGGCGAGCGACGCGTACCCTGTTACAAAGTACGATGAGAACGAGCTAGTGGTTGCGGTCGACGATGGCGAGGTCACCATGATGGAGACCGTTCAGAGAAAAGAAGTTTTGTTCGCCGTGGTCGCGGCGATGGTGGTCGTTGCCACGGTTTGAGCTGTAAACTTTGGACACCCGATGACCCCGCATAAGCCTCACCCCATTTCCACACATGTTGAGCCTGGCAGACATCGTCGTCTATTCGACGGCGGGTGCTGTCTTGGCGGTGGTGGTTGTCACGGGAACTTGCGCGGTGTATATCGCTGTCACTCGCACTCAAGCCCAGGTACAAAAGCTGACCTGTAACAAGTACGTTGTCCCCGGATTCCCCAGCCACGGGACGCTGATGATGATGGCGTGGGATGGCGTCGTCTACGTTGTTCCCGAGGGAAAAGCTGTCATTAAATGCACCGGCGTTGTCCACGAGGTGCACGGTGGCCGTATTTCTCGAGGTTGTTGTGACCGGAACGGAAGGTTCGTCTACGATGATGGCTACGACTACGATGACCCCAGGGGCGCCCAAGAGGCAGAAGAAGATAACCAGAACGCCCTGGACCACGTTTTCAGCAATTGGCCTTTCGCCGACAGCCCGCGGTCTCAGGACAGGACCGTCTCTATCACATCGGAGGAAGAAAGTGTTCTTGCTGGCGAGATCGTTACGAAAGAGTTCCCTTCGTGTGTTTCCCTACACTTGTTTATTTTGTTGCGTACAGTCAATCGACGGAAGTCTGGGATGGCTTCATCCACCGGTTCCATTAACGTCAATCTAAGACGGTTCGACTGCAGGGCCGCTATGGCCGTGAAGTGCAACGCGGTCGTGATTGGGAAGAGAAACACGGGCAAGAGCGTCCTAATCGCAGAGCTTTTGTACTACCTCTCAAAGCAGAAGGTTCCGCGCGCCTGCGTCTTTTCGGCGACGGAAGAAAGCAACCGTTTTTTCTGTAGGCACATACCAGATTCCTTCATTTTCGACGAGAAGCACGTCGAGGCGAAGTTGATTGAAATTGTTGAGCAGCAGAAGCGTTTGCAGCTACAGCGGGACATCGGGGAGATTGACGAGGACACCGACTTGCGCATTGTCATCGTGCTGGACGACATGGGATACAACCGTAAAATTCTCTCGAGTCAGATCCTCACGTTCATCTTCATGAACGGGAGACACTACGACATTACTCTGATCGTCGCCATCCAGCACGTGATGCAGCTGACGCCTGCTCTCAGGAGCAACACCGACTACGTTATTTGCCTGAAAGAGGGCAACAAGAACGTGATGAGAAATCTGTACGAGAATTTCTTCGGTGTGTTTGAGAAACCAGTGCACTTCAAGAACGCCTTTTACGCCTGCACGAAAGATTTTGGCTGTCTGATCCTCAACAACACGGTAGCAAGCGTTCTCGTCAACGACACGGTTCATTGGTACGAGGCGACGCCCAATCGCGTGTTCAAGTTCGGGTCGAAAGAATTTTGGAAGTATCATAACGACAGGTATGTGTCGATCCACGACAGGTACTTGCTACAAAGGGGGCCGTGTGCCGACACGACCAGGTCAAGAGACGGAACGTTTGTTGTACACAAACAAAAGTAAATAATATTTTCTACGGATGTCGAAAAGTCGGAATTATCCCACTCAGCTCTGCAATGGTGTACGTGTTGGACAAAGACGGCGTTTTTGAGTGCAGAAAGTCCCGTGTACAGGGAGCGGGTATGGGCGTATTCTGCGTCGATAGCGTTGAGGCGGGCACAATCCTACCGTACTACGGCGTCACAATCAAAGATGACGATGACGACGATAGGAACGCGCGATGTTCCCAAGAGGGCTATCGTACTTACGTTGTCTCCGCTGACTACACCAACCGCTCTGGGAATCAGAGAACCGTCGAGGGATACTCGGTGGACGGTGACCCAAGTCTCCCTGTGATTGAAGAACTCGACGGCTTCAAAAAGCTTGCGTGTCGAATAAACGAGGCCAGTGATGGATTTGCACCAAACTGTTTATTGGTGAGCAATCGTGCGATCTCCAGAGCGGATATCAAACGATCGTTGGCGGAACACTCGGCGATTCCCGCGACTTTCATCGTGACGATCGAGGACCTCAAAAGAGGTACCGAGTTGTTCACGTGCTACGGCGACGAGTACGGAGAGCGAGGGTACAGACCGTCCAAGATGAAGCGAAGCCGCCTCCGGCAGATGATCGACAAGGCCTACGAACACGTGGACGCAATTTAACCTCAAACTTTGGCGTCCCGGGGAGTTGTCCCGGTGTGACACAACTCTCACACAAAGCAAAGATGGCCAAGCGCGTGAAGAAGAGCGAGGTCTGTGGGTCCTCCATCAAGTATGACGACAAGACCCAGGGCTACAAGACGAACGGCAAGTTTGTCAACTTTGGGATCGGAGAGAACAGGGTATTCGACGTGGGGGATGTGTTCCTGAAAAGCAACGTGACCTTTGGAATCATCACAGAGACGCCGCGGGTGATAACGCTGGGAAGCCCGTCGTGCACCGGCGACGGTGACTTCGACAGGAACGTTGGGCTGATCTGGGCTCTCAGTCGTGTGGATCACGTCTTTTCCAAGAACTGTACGCCTGACAATCTTGCGGGCGTGTTCAAGGCGTGCTCCGGCAGCGGGTGCGCGTCGGCGTGTCTGCGCGGCATCAAGTACATCAACAAGTTCGGCGCTCCTTGCTGGATACACCTGAACGGCAAGGGCATGAAGGAAGTCTGCCGCATAATGGGCCACGAAGCCTCCGAGCTCCACGTGAGGGCCGCGGATCTGCTGAACGAGACGTACGGGGGTCACCGTGCGAACGGGGACTCTGTAATCCCGGTGTCGTCCATACGCGCGAACCGGCTTTCAAGATGATGTACCGAGAGAAGATCGTCAAGTCGCAGAAGGTGGGTTCCAAGGAGTTCTTGATCACGAAGGAGGTGTTCGAGGCGGAGGAGCTCTTCAAGGCCTCCGTGAAGCACCTGGTGGAGGGTTTCTCGGTCGACGCCAGATTCGACATCGGGAACGACCCCGATTCCGACGAACAGCTGGTTGAGGGGCAACTGACAGCATGCAACACTGCCATGAACAACGGCGCGTCGTACATTTGCGGGATGCCCGGTGTCGGCAAGACCTCATCGCTGTGCAAGATCATCGAGAACTCGAAAGGAACAGCCATACTTACTCCGTCCCATGTCGCCAGGGAAGTCGTGCACCAGCGCGCCAAGAAAAACCTGATCCCCGAGTCAACGTTCAGCGTCGAGGTCTTGGCGTTTGCCATCAGGCACATCCACACATGGCACCCGGACTCAGTTGCTTCGGACTTCAACCCCTCCGAGCGGTCGGCGCAGATGATGAAAAAATTCCAGGACGCGGAGGGCAACATCCAGGTTGAAACCCTCATCATCGAAGAGACGTCGATGGCGGATATTTTCCAGACGTCTGCCGTCCTGGATGAATTCTGCAAGTTTTCTTTTTCAAGAGAGTGGTGTTTTGCGGAGACCCCAATCAACTGGAGTCTATTTCGAAGGGGTGTGTTCTGAAAGACGTGATGGAATCTCCGGGTGTGCCCGGCACCGTCCTCAAGATCAACCACCGTTCGTCGTCCGGCCTTTCGAACAACTTGGGGAGGATCATCACGTCCTCCCTCGCCTTCATGGAAGAGGACGACACTTTCGAAATCCGGGAGTACGGGATGGACGAGTGTCACGTGGAAACGGATCGTTTTGGCAGGCGCCGTGTGATCGTGCACGACCCCATTATCCGTTTGTTCCTGGAGCACGTGGAGAACGGGATCTCTTGCCACGTCTTTGCCCACACGAACATCGAGGTCAAGAAGCTCAACTCCGGTATCAAGCTCGCCCTTTTCGGAGAAGACTCTGTTCTCTACCCGATTGGCTGCAAGGTTCGCGTCAAGGATTGTGAGGTCATCACGCCACCCGTGTTCCACCACAACGACTTCCTCGAAATCGCCGAGGTGCGAGGCGCCAAAGACTTCCTGGTCAAGAGGTGGTCGGACCCCGAAGAGTTCCCAATGCTTTCTCTAATCAAGGCTGAGGGTAGGCTGAGGGACGCTCTGGACATTGGCTTTGCCAGCACGATTTTCAGCTTTCAGGGTAGTGAGTGCTAGAACGTGATCTGCCACACGGTACCCAATTCCGCCTACTTCCATAGGAATGCTTTGTTTACCGGCGTATCGCGTGCCAGAAACAAGGCCTACATTGTGAGGGTGGCGGGCAGCTCGTGCTCGTGGAGGAAGGTCCTGTACAAGAAGCCTGTGCCCAGGATTTCCAACATGTCGCAAATGCTTCTGTGCTCCTGAATACGTAGATTTCCAACACGCGGTCGATTTCTCTTGTTTTTTTTCCTAATTTCTTAACGGATAACATTACACACGGTGTTGTTCCCAAGCGGTCCACACTTGTATCTCGCAACACAATGGCCCCGAGGCTTCACACCATCTTGGATACTTTCGAGATAGTACGACTAATCCACCGGGAAGGCGCGGACGTGGGTCGCAGAGACATCGACGGTACCACGGCTCTGCACGCGTCGCGTTCGTCTGCCGTCGCTCGTACTCTGATTGAGTATGGTGCCGACGTCAACGCAAAAAGTTCCAGAGGCATGTCACCTCTCCATCGCACGCGAAGTGTCGGCGTGGCCAAAGTGTTGGTCGAGCGCGGTACCTCTGTCAATGCAACAGACAACTTCGGCAACACGCCCTTGCACTACAGTAACGACATCGGCACCGTTCGGCTGTTGCTCCAACACGGTGCATCCGTAACCCATCGAAACGTGAAGGGGGAGACACCTATCCACATGTCAACGTATGGGTCCAAGGTCACTGCTCTCGCGGAGGCCGGTGCCGATGTTGACGCCGTGGACAACACCGGGAAAACACTGCTGATGAAGAAGTCCACGTGTTTCTACGGTTTTCGTCTACTCGACCATCTACTGAAGGTGAACCCATGCATCTTTCTGAAGGACATGGATGGAAAGACAGCGATCGACTTCACGGTGGATGAGTTGGTGATCCGGCGGTTGCAGGTGTATTGGAAAGATCAAAACTGGCGCCGGAGGAAAACTATGCTTCTTCTGCGGGCTCGCCGAAACGCGGATTATGTTGCGAAGGACGCGCTAGTATTGTTGACCATGGGTCGTCCCCATGGTGCATTTAGAACAGTGTTGGCCTATCTCTGAACTTGAAACATTAATTATGTTGACGATATTTGTATGATTATGACCAGGGTGTTGCGTCTTGTCTTCTGGACCATCGACCTCGTAAAGGTGATTGGTTTTCTTCGCGCGCACCAACCTATCGATGGTTCGAGTAAAAGACATGAGAAGTTCGTTGGACAGCGCGCCTTGCACGAGCAGCAAAACGACGATACGTCCCAGACCGAGATCCAAGACGAGCAGTGCCCTGAGATACAGAAGCTAGAGTCTCTCGTCAGTCTTTACGATCAGACGGGAGACTGGACCGCTTTGCTTGAAGTACGGGACATGTACGCGCGTGGCTGCTATCCTTTCTACGGCTCGGCTCCGAGAACAGCTCTCGCGTTGTATCAGGTAGCGTCGCGATGTCCCGACCGGGTCGTGGCGGCGCGAGCGTTGTCGAGTTTCGCCAATGCGAGGACCAATCCGGTGTCTCGCCGAGATTGCGTCGGCCAGCCTTTTCCACAGGAGATTGCATCGGGGCTGATCGGTATCGCAGAGCGCAGGGTTAGAGAAACCCCTTTTCACGAGTTCAACCATCGACTCAGAGTGAAGTACCTGAGGCCTAGACCCACTGATGCGGTTCCTGATGCGGCTCCCGTGGTGGCAACCGTTACGGCAATAGAAGCTCCCGCGGTTCCACCGTTGGTTTTGGACAAGCAGAACGTCCACGACCACGCCATTTCTCAAGCGACAAAGAAGAACGTGAAGCATGTCGTTGCGGCGAATGAAGCTGGCGATGAGTTTGATCGGGTGGAGCTCATAGATTCCGTCATGTCTGAACTCACGGCGGTGAAAAACGTAACTGAATCCAAGTTGAGCGACTCTTTTCGGGTTCTCACGAGTCTGCTTCCCGACAAGATTGAGTCGATGGGGTGCTCCCAGCTCGATGTGTTGAACGCAACCTTCCGCAAAATATTGGGCGTTGAAGATCCGAACCTCCGGGAGAACTTGTTGGAAGCGCGCTTGCTTCGGGAATCGAGCGCGACCGCGTGGTCTGCTCTACCGGTAAAATCGCACGGATTGTGTCGATTCTCGAGGGGACGGATCTCGTCCACAATAAAAGTGTCCCGATTGAGGTGATTCGCCGCGAAATTGGAACTCTTGCCTCTAAAATCAGGGATGATGTTCTGTCAGGGGTCGCGGACAGTGACCGCAACGCCTATAATTCGAGCACCACGTTGCATGACCTGAGCGATCGGATGAGAGAGCGCTTTCAAGCACAAGTCAATGCAACGTACGTGGTCGGCGTGGGGCTTTCTCCCAAGGTTCTATGGCCTTTGGTGGAAGTCTACATGGCCAAGTTTTAAGTCTAGAGTCTAGACGATTCGCCGCATGATTGTCTGCACTCGATCGGTCACGAACCATCTGCTCACCTCCTTGCCGATTTTAGAGGGCGTACCCCCGATCGACAAGACTTTCATTATCTCTGCCAGCTCCCGGAGCAACAACACCTCCGGTGTCGCCACCAGGGTGCCGACGCCCACCCCCAAACCCGCCGTAGAGTCAGAGCCAGAAGAAAAAAATGATTTGGATGAGGAAGGCGATGGGCCACCGGTGCTACCACCACCAGCAACAACACCACCCGCACCACCACGGTCGACCGAGTCTGTGCTCGCGTCTAGCCCAAAGTTCAAAACCAGTCTTCTAGTCGAAGACGATGGTGAATCAACGGATTCCGCACGCGGTTTCTTTGGCGGAGTTTTGTCGCGCGGCACCGAGAAATTCGGAGACAGTGCCGAGGACACGGGTGACGTTGGTGGGGTGGGTGCCGATGAGAGTGCCGAACGAGCCGATACGCTCTTCATGCAGATATCGACAGCGTATAATTTGCATGTGGAGATGAGACGATTCGCATCCACGGGGGTCAGTCTGTGGACGACAAACTTCCTCTCCAGCTGGGAGTCCGGTGTTAGTTGCGTCTTCCTCCCCCTGAAGTGATTCCTGAACGATTTTAAACCGGAAGAAATATTTCTATCGATGTGGTTCTTGTCGTTCATTGAGTCTATGCGACAAAGCAGCGTTTACGGAGTGAGACATGGAGCTCTTGTTTTGTTACCACGTAAGCCTCTACCTATTTTTTATCGCGTCCGTACCAGACGGAAATTTATCTCTTCCACAGTTATTAGGCGGTGTGTAAAATGTCCCAGGTTGAAATTGACAGCGCTTGCGCTTCGTTTGCCGGAGGCTTTGTCAACGAGGGAACGGAAGTGGTGGTCGTCGTGCGCCAAGGAGAGGATGCGAACGACGTATCCACCACGGTCACGACTGTGCAGGCAGCACCGGCGTCGCCCAGCGAGACCGTTGTGGCGATTGCACAGGCTTGTGGCGTTGCTCTGAGAGACGTTCGCGCCACCGTGTACGTTTTGGTCGGCGGGGTGGACGGAAATAAAGTTTAACTTATTTTTCGACACACAAAGACATGAGAATCCAGCAGCCCTTCGGACATTATTCGGGGTACTTGTCTATGTCGAACAGGTACCCGGGGGTGTCGTTATTGCCAATAGTGTTCCAAGACAAGATCGTCGGTATCTTTACGGCCGTCCCCCCAACCAGGGACGCAGTGACGGACTTTTTTCCTCCACCGGTCGTGTTTGAAGTTGACCACGGAAGATGTGATGGTGACGTCCGTCGGAGCGGTTGATGAAGGTGACAACAGCACCGACGGTGAGGGTGATGACGAGGACGATGACGATGACAATGGTGATGAAAAAGAAGCGGCCGTCCTGCCGTGTATATTGATACCAACGTGTATGGACCTGTCCGAATGGTACACCGTGCAGTGGACAAAGAAGTTGTGGAAGTGGACAGGAGGAAGTGTGACGGTTTCCTTGGCGAAATCGAACGCCACAAAAAGCTTGATCTTGGAATCGTCCCAGTAGGAGATGTCTGTTTGCGGCGACGCGAACCCATGGAAATCCAGATTCCTCGGATAGAACGACATAGCCTAGAACGTCTTGCGCTTCCTTGACAGTTGTGTCCCGATCATATCGTGCTCCGGGTCCACCGAAACATGTTCACCATTGGCACCATCACCACCGGTCGCCTCTGCACACGAGTACAAGAAGGTGATGATCTCCACGACGTTGTCGCTGGAAAAGCAGTCCTTGTTCTCCTTGATGAACTTCACGAACTCTTGCATCGTTATGCTGGAGAGGCGCAGCTGGCTCCAGAGAGATGTCCCGGGTTCCGAGAAGTTATGTGTAATATCAGCTCCCATGCCGAACGCAGGCCATGACCATCCTTGTCTGCGTGGATTCTCTTTTCGCACAGCTTGAACACGCACTGAAGCAGGTCGATTTCTCGGATGTTGAGATCGTCTCGCGCGCATATTTGTGAGATGCCAGGGATGCTCTCAAATCCTAGGGCGTAGAAGCTTTTGTGCTTGAAGACCACCAACGCATATATTGCGATGTAGTCGCTGATGTCCGACAGAAGCCCCCTGTCGCTACCGTCTTCGCCAGAGCACACGACAGAATTCATGGCGTACTCCAGGGCTTGGATGGCATTTGACGGGTTGATGACGTCCATCACGAGTTGCCGAATCACGTCCATTCCTCCCCGCAGGCTGTAGTAGTGGAATGCAGAGTACCTTTCCATGGTCTTCAGGATCGGTTCGCCCTTGTCCACCTGAACGATCCCCGTGTAACAGAATACCCTCATCATGTCGAAGATGTGTCTCTTGGAAATCGGGTCGGAGACCTTGTTGGCCTTGACCCCTTCGAACTTCTCCGTTCCCTTCCTCATGTCGTTCAGAAACAGACACTTGAAGTAGTCGGATCGCGACGAGTGCCTACAGTCGTTGTAGAACACGCCCTGGAACATCCAGGCCATGTCGAAGGAATCCGAGTTGTTGCACTTAAGAGTCTCGATTGTTTCCGCCTGCCAGCTGGAGACGTGGCCCAGGAGGTTTTGGGCAACGTTTTTTTCCATGGTGTTTGGCGTTGATATTTTTAATGTTGCTAGATGGCTAACGTCTGGATTATCGGGTGAAAATGAATCAAGACGCGGTGAACATTTTCGAATCTCTGCGCGAAACTGTGGCCGATCCATCGGCGGAGGACAAGCTGTCCCACGAGGTCACGGTACAGAACATGGTGAGGTGCCCGTTCTACGAAAAGCCCGTGGACGAGCACCAGCGATCTCAGCGCGCCAAGTATGTCAAGCGGACGCAAAGACACCGATCGACGGCACAATCTCGGCTAGGGGACATGACCGTCGGGGACATTCGGTATTGTTTCCAGCAACTGCGGAGCGCTGGGAAGGACCTCAATCCCGATATGATGCTGTACAACGGCGAGACAGCCGGCGAGTTCGCCCTCAAATACTTGAGGGAGACGTCAACCGCGATGAGAAACCGGCGAAAAAAGCTATCGATGGTCATGAACGATTCTGTAGATGACGACGGGGAAACCGGAGATATGCCGTCCGCGTCAAGACTAGGTGTCAATGGGGCAAGAAAGAATAAAGCTATCATCAACACTTTCAACGTTCTTGAATTTTGATCAACGCTTAATCGGTACTTTTCAAGGCACTCATCAACTCCGGAGTCTTCATGATCTCCTGCAAGATGACCATGGGGTCCTGCGCCTGGCTCTCCGTGAGCTCCCCGTTCTCCACTTTTTTCATACACCCCTGTGCCAAGGATTGTATCGAGCTCAGAACTTTGCCGGACATGGATAGGATCGTCGTTCCAGCAGGGAAAAGTTGCTGGATGTAGTTCCAGATGGCCTCCCGGTTGTCGTCTTCCAGCGCCGTCCACTCCTTCGCCATGTCGAATTCTCCCCCGGTGATCAATAGAATTTCACACACGTCGAAGAGCTTGGGGTCTTTTGTCATGATGAGATCTGCGTGGGGCTTAAACACCTCGACGAAAGTTCCCATGGGTATCTCCGTGCATTCATCGGCGGCCATGAGTCCCTCCAGCATGGTCTTCGCGTCTGTAATAACAGTATACTCGTCGAACGTGTCGGCGAGGTCACAGAAAAATTCGGACAGCATGGAGTTGAAAGCCTTGTACGTGGTCATGGCTTCGAATCGAATGCTGGTAACAGTTGAGAATTGAAAATAAATATGAGTAGCTGCACGAACGTGAGAACTCAAGATCGCATTTCCGGCAGAAGGTCCTTGGAGTTGTGCCTGACCCCGTTGATGATGTCTTCGAAAGTGAGGTGAATGTGCATCATGGATTTTTCCACGTCGGAACTCTGTGGGTAGTTCTTGGCTCTGCATGAAATCAGGAGGGCGTTCATGCTCTTGGTGGCCATGATGGAGTAGTTGGTTATCTTGTGTGACTTCATGATGGACACGGTCCTCGTCTTGTCGACAAGGAAGCGGTTGTACAGGTATATCACGCTCTGGATGTGCCGGCATGCGTCACAGAAGGCCTCTTCATCACACTCCCTGGCGCTGTGTAGCTCGAGAAGGTCTTTGTATATGTCAAACGACTCGAGCACCTCGAGGTCGGCAAACTTTTGGTTTTGCCCGCCCGGTCTTTCCACGTTAGAACGTCCACGGTAGAAAGCCCATCTGAAAAGACGTTGCCGACTGCCCCTAGTATGAATCCACCAGCGATTCCGAAGAGAGCCCCCCTGGCACCCCCGCTGAAAACCCTGGATCCCGCGCTTTTGAACATCGTAGTGTGTGCCCGCGTATACGTACCGCGAGGAAAATGTATATCGTCCCCGAAACGCGAATCACAAGTCTTGATCGTCATCGGAAGAGTAGGTGTGATCAGACGCATCGACCATCAGTGTTTCCCACCGGAGGACGTCCGAAAGATACCCTTCCTCCTCGTCTGTTTGTGCCAAAAAGTCATCGTAGTCTCCTGCGATGTCTTCTTCGAAGTCGTCGTCGTCGTCGTCGTCGTCGTCGTCGTCTTCATCGGTCGACCGTGATCTTGTTGACTCGTACGAACTGTCGGGTGAATCCGAAAGTGAGAAGTCACTCTGTCCGGTGTCGTGCTCCTCGTACTCCTCTTCTCGCTGCACCACGTCTTCTTCGTCATGCTGCACCTCTTCTCGGTATCCCCACTCGTCTCCCATCGCGGAATCTGCCTCGGAGGTAGCGTCGCTGTAGTCGTCCTCCATGATCTGGTCGGGATCCGGCTCGTACCTGGAGGGTGGTCTAACCCTTCTCCCCGACCTCTTCGTGATCTGTATCCTCTGCTCAGGTCGGTCTGGTTCATCTTCTGGCGTGTTCATCGTACCGCAGTCGCTTCTTGTCACATGTCGCTACATAAAAAAGCCTCGTGGCGCCTTGAGGTCTGTCCGGGCCAAAATCTACTGTTAACTTCCGAAGTCCATGCAGCGGCAGGTGAAATTATATCTTTATTATCCCATACATCAAACATCCACGCGAGACGATGTTGTTGAAGTGGCTGCGAGACAATGATTTCATCAACAATAGTGAGAGAAGAACCACGCACACGCTGATGACCGGAGGGGTTGTCGGTGTTCCCCATGAGCAGTATGACGAATTCCTTCGTCTATACGCGACGGAGGTCGAGAGCAAGAACAAGACCATTTCCTTCTCCGAGCTTAGATCCAACCCGGCGTTTTGCATGTACTTCGACATCGATCTGCTCGACTCCAAAGAGCTAAGCACGGAAGTTGGTTTAAGGATATATTCTCTGATCCAGGGCGTCGTCCGAAGCTTCTACCCCGGCAGCTCGGGCGATACCGGTCGATTCCAGTGCGTGGTGTGCGGTACGCCCCCGAAGAGGGTGGATGGAGAAGCGGGGGAAAAATCTCTGACCAAGAGCGGGTACCATATCACGCTCCCCAATCTACGAGTCACTGTCGAGCAGGCGCTCCAGATCAGGTACTGCGTGGTGTACGAGCTTGAAAAAACATTGGGACCGCGGTCGGATGGTCTGAATGCGTGGTCTGACGTGATCGACAAGGCGCCGTACACCAATGGCCTCAAGATGTGCGGCTCGTTCAAGAGAGTCAAGTGCACGGACTACAAAAAGACCGATCCGACGTTCAAGGACAAAAAGAAGGCGCTCCTCTCGTCGATTGCGAGACTCCGGCGAAAAATATACCCCCGTGACCGCGGCTTCGAATACTCGGACCTCGCGGACGTCCAAGACGACGAGTTCAAGGACGCGATGTTCGGCGATATGTACGGGAGGTACCTGGAGCTCACGGGGTTCAACTCTTGCAAGACGTGTCTCAACACGGGCAAGCGAATCGAGGAGCGGACGTACATGCCCGTGCTCGCGCTGGACGGGTCTGGTGATACCGACGCTTCTCTGATCGACCTTCTGCGAGACGACCTGTTTAAGGTGATGAAGTACACCAGCATTCGGTGCAAGGACGGCGAGTCGGAAACTTCCGGGTTTGTCATCCCCGAGGGCGTTCCGAAGGCGCCCACCGAAGAAAACGGTGCCAATATGCGGACGTTCTCGAGCAAGAAGCTGACTCACCTAGGAAGCGACGTGCAGGCCTTCACAGTGAACAATGACATTTATCTGAGCGATGCCCAGACGATGCACTTGTGGAAAGGACCACGCGTCGAGGATGAGAGGCGTCTGTCCGTCATCGAGAAATTCATCAGGGAGAGCGTGTGCGAGATGTACTCTTCGGTGCAGATCAGGAAAGTCTGCGAGAGCAGGCTCATTCAGAAAGTCATTCCGAGAGCGAGTGGTGGGAGCAAGTTGATCAATTCCCTCGTCGGCGCTCACTCGGGCAGCATCCCACCGCCTCCACCCGTGTCCGTGAGCAATCGCTACCTTGTAAACATCGCGGGAGTGGGATCGACGTACTGCATGAACAAGGGCGCCGACCACACCTCCAACTCGGTGTATTTCATCATCACGTAGTCTTACTGCTACCAGAAGTGCTTCTCCAAAAAACCACAGGTTCGCGGCGGGGGCACGACATGCGCCGATTACAGGTCCGGCGGAGTTCCGGTTCCGCTCGCGGTTTCGTCGGTGTTGTTCCCCAATGAGCCTGACAGCAAAGACAGCGTGACCGCATTATCATCGAGGCCGGCAAAAACGCATCATATCGACGCCAAGCAAGCTGCAAGTAGGAAAAAGAAGCGCAGGAAGGCCGGGACCGACTGGGGCGCCAAGAAACTATGATTTGAGGCTTAATCGAATAAAAAATGTGTGCGGGTGTGTAGGTTAAGATGATTGTATTTGAGCCAAACCTTTCGATTGATATCTGCCTCCTCGCCATCATCCTTGGCCTGTACGTGACCAAGAATGACAGAAATCTGATCTTGTTGTTGTTGTGCTGCCTCCTGGCGCACGTGTCGCTGACGAATGATGATAACGATGACGGCGATGTGATTGAGCACAGTGCGTTGGGTGCCGCGGCCGGTGGTTCCGCCGATCCCGGTGATGATCAATACGGCAAAGCCGCTGCAGAGGAGGACACCGCAGTCGTTGTTGCCGACGAAAACGCGGCTAATACTCCGCGGCCGCCCGATCACTTCAAGACTACGCTCTCTTCTGGCGTGTTTGATCGCCAATTGAGCACTCCGCAAACGAATCTCACCTCCACGGTTTTCCTCTCCACCTCGGAAGAAGCGAACGGGAAGCTGGCCTCTGCCAGGGGTTCCTTCTTCGAGGCGCTCGTTTCGTGACAAAAAATCTAAACCTAGAGTAGTACACAGCACATTCAAAATGCCTTCCGCGGTTCACGACATCAACTCTGCATTCAACAGCCGCCTCGTACCCCTCGCCGCCGTCGGATCCCCGAGGCCTGTCAACCCTTTTGCTTCGACCGGAGTACAAACATCCAAAACGAAGAATGACGAAATGAAAGTTCGAGCGTCTGTGACGCTTCCCGGCACCCTGGGGGCTCAGTACAAGGGAAAGGTGATCGATACCAAGAGCGACGACTCTGTCCGCCTGGACGCGTATACGATCAGGGAGAACCCGAAGGCCAAGACGACCAAGCACTCGACCACGCGGTTGCAGATTGAACACACGAGAGAACGGTAACATTCACCCAGGCACGTATTTATCGCAGAATTTATGATGATTGCATGCTTCAACATGGCAAAGAGCGAGTCATGTGATCTTCCAAAGAATTGTGCATCATTTCTGTTGCAACCGGTTTGGTGTTTTGTTTCGCCACTCTGTACGCTCAGAGTGCGGTATCCAAGTACGTCGAACGCAGGGTGTTCGAAAGGTCGAGAGCTAACCCTCTGATTGGAATGGGTCTTGCCTCTGAACTCCGACCACCCGAACACCACCCCGGCAATGGCCTCAGATCCCCGTCACAGTCTCACCCGCCACGGGTTCGTGATAACGAGGAAGTCGAGAGTGTCGTCCACGGGTCTAAGATTCCCGACGCGCCACCGAGGTCAGGGACTCGGTGGACACCACTGCCTACTTGACGTGAAGGCTTTGGGTGTGATATCTGTCAGGCTTGTGATGCCGCACGGACCGAGACCTCCCCTCTTCCAGGAGCTTGACGTTGAAGATGTGTTCGTCGATTCTGGATATGATTCGGCTATGCTCGTTGTGGGCCACGTTGTGGTTGATTACAGATTTTCGGAGCGCGGCAGTCTCGGTTTCCAGCACCCCAATCCTCTTTTTCACCGACCGTATTGCGTCGATGAGCTCTTGGAGGAGCGAGTTCGTGTACGAGACGTCGTTGCCCATACCTCGCCTCAGTATTTCACACCAATATTGTGTTGTGTAAGTTCTTGGGTGGCTTCATAGAGGTGGTCGAATCTAACAGTAGGTGAGGGAACTATCATGAAATTTTGCGTTCGAGCTGAGGTGCTGTCCTCACCTGAGCGTGATCGTGACAAACTAACTGCTAAAACGCTGAGGGTGTTGGTCGTGGATGATATCGCGACAAATCGCAAGTACATCAACCGCAAGCTAAAAAGCTTGGAGGAAAGTATGAGTTTCACCGTTAGCGAGGTTGTCAAAGCATGCGACGGGGATGATGCCGTCCGCCTGTCTAAAAAATCGGGTGATCCATTCGACATCGTTCTCATGGACTGCCTCATGCCCATCCTGGACGGATTTGAAGCAACGAAACAGATACATGTGATTTGCGACCAAATGGAAATTCCAAGAGTACCCGTTATCGCAGTGACTGCAAGTATAGCAGAAAACGTATACGACAAGTGTAGAGATGCGGATATGATTTATGTCGTAACAAAGCCGTTCTCTCTGGAGCAGCTTAAAGCTTCGCTCAAAGATTCTACTTTAGCCTAACAACGCCGAAGCGCAATACAAAGAGGCAAAACCTTTCCAACCTCGCTCCCCCCCCAACCCCTTCCCATCAAAAAGCAGCAGCACCAGCAGCACCAGCAGCGGCAGCAGCGGCAGCAGCAGCAGCAGCAGCAGCAGCAGCGAGAGCCTAGAGAGTAGACAGCAAGGAGAGGCATCAGCAGCGACGTACGGTGGAGTGCTGTGTTGTCTCCGTGTGTTTTATGCGCGCATGTGCGTCGATTTGGGGGCGCTGGTGGCTCAGGGCAGACCATCCGGCGCAATCAACCCAACAAAAGTAGCGGTACGCCCATAAAAACGTCACCGTGCCGGGCACAAACCACGCAGTCCCGTGTCTACCGTACTCAACTTGCTTATCTGCCTCCTTTTGTTTATTTCTGGAGACCATGTAGCCATAATCGATCCCTCGCTGCCGTGAAGCCACGGAGAGCATGGCACCTGACGCACGAGCATTTAATATTATAGAGTTTCGAAATGAATTTACCAAACAAGGACATGGCGCCCACCGCAACCACGTAGGCCTGCCGCCACCGCACCCATTTTGCTTCAGTGCAGCCATTTGTTTTTTTAAAACTCCAGCACTCGAGTTCGTGCGTGTTCTCGCACAAAGGAGCCATCCTGACCACCCAAAAAAATCTGACGCGGTCAGAAGCCCTCGTGGCCACTCAAAAAAGTAATGACGCACGCGCATTTAAGAAAAATCAAGTAGTGTGACGATGCGCGCCAATGAAAAGCCACGGCGCCGGGCAGAAATGACGAGACACTGGTCTCGCTCGTACAAACCTTGCTATACATGCGCCCATTCGTGTATTTATGGCGCCTCCACATCTTCTCGCGTGATCGCACGCGCTTTTGGGGCGGGCAGCTGACACCCTACCTGTGCAAAAAATCTTTTTTTCAGCTTCCACGTCAGCCCCAGTACAGCCAACCTTTCTGCCCCAAAATGCACCGGGGCCACCCCCCCCCCTCCAAATCTCTATTTCATGCAACGTTCGCCCATGCCCGGCCTAAAAATGCGCCAAGAGGTTCATGGGGGTCATCTTCGCATGCCTGACGTACAAGTATGCGTCAAAAAAGCACACGACGCTCACCCCGTTTCTCGCTCTGTCCACGCATGTTCTAACACTAATGCCCTGCCCCCTCCCACAAACTACTAAAGCCCACACGGCCCTGAGCTCCGACCCGATGAATGTTGTGAGATGTTGCTTGCGTGTGCGCTGGCCGTTCTGCCTGCTTATCACAAATTTCCCGAGCAAAAACGACGCAGGTGGCCACGAGGGACGCACAAGATGATCGGGACTGCTTGTAGAGAAGCTAAGAGGGAGCGTCTAATCGTACAGCGTATCATGCTGATTTTTTGTCTGATTCGTCCCTAAGGAATCAATCGTACATGTTTGATTGGAAATCGTGTTATAGTATTTCAAGTCGAATTCCCGATTGGGCACGATTCAATTTTTTCGGGAGTTGCCTTTCCGTCCTTTGATATACGGGAAAGGTTTGGAGGACACCATCAAAATGAAAACTCCGTTCCGAGGAAAACAGGATCTACGGGAGAACTTCATCATACCTCTTTCCCTGAAGCGCCCTCGGCGATCATCGATCCATCGACGCTACCTCTACCGCCATCGCCGCCTTCAACACCAGCAGTGGAAAACGGAGGGATACCACCTGCAGTACTACCAGCATCGGCGCCGCGAGTGTCCCGGCTGCCAGCAGCAGCAGCAACAGCAGCAACAGCACCGCCACTACCATCGTCACCACCGTCGCCTAAGAAGCTCATCCCCATCTTGTGGGTACCAGACATGGAACTAGGGCCGTGGTCCTGAGGGGCGGGAACGGGTGGGGCAGGCGAACGGACGGTCAGGCGGGTTGGCGCGATTGCCCCCAAGCCAACCTGTTCTGCAGGCATCCTACCATCTGCAAAGAGGGTGCATGTCCTAAGGTTACGAGTTGGCCTCTTGGTTTGACGACGTTATCCTCCTAGCCACCGGTTCGCCAGGAGTTGTTATGATTATTTCTACAGAGGTATCATGCTCTGGTACGCTGCCAACACCCAGACCCTGTGCCACATTCGGGTGCGAATTCCCGCGGCCAAGTGCCTCTGACAAGGAGTCCGGCCCCAAACTTCACCTGAAGGCAACATGACGAAACACTCAGCAAACGCCCTTACAACAACATTCAAATCGATTTCTGCACCGTAGCAGTTTCGCTTTCCACTCGCCCCGTGTCCATTTCGTGGGTAGACGGTGCGGCCACGGAAATCGCGCCAAGCCTTGCGGACCAATGAAATAGGGCCTTTGTCAAGAAGGAGAGATGTACCGATGAATCGGAACTTAAGCGAAAGGGCAACGCACCAAAACTTACGTTGTGCTCGGGGAACGTGCATGAGCTGCACACGGTCATCGGCTGACGCCGGCGTTGGTGTTGCACGCTTACAGCGCTCTCGTGCATTTGTCGTGGAACACCGTGTAGTCGATGCGCAATGCACCGCTCCTTGTTATTAGCATCTCCGACCGTCACGCAGTATTCATCTGTACGGAACATCGGTCAAAGAGTGGATTGGGCAAAGTGACACGACGAGTGGCCAGTCCGTAAGATATCTGTCGTCCTATGGCAGAGCATAGACAAGGCAACAGCCGTCCACGCGGTAGTGCAGCGGGAAATCGGGATAACGGCAGTGTACTCGATTCCTCCAAATTATTCAACGCGCAGAAGCTGAAGCAAGTCGCGCCCGTGAGAATGAGAAAATTGGATGCGCAGGGTACGCGTGCGTGACAGAAGCACATATGTAGCAGTGGATTGTCGACGTAGGCCACAAGCGCAGTCCCTAGTGCCCGCAGTTGGGTTCCAGCGCTCAGTGATTGGCAATGGCGCACGAAACGGCA